CAAAAGACACTAAATGACCATCATCCATGGATCCAAAGTGGAAGAGAATTGGGAGTGGGATATTCCAGGAAGTTACAGAATACTCGGATTGTTCATTCATGAATAGAATAGTTAGTTAAAAACAGGGAATCTGTATCCACGGATATTTGTAATCTGATAGAGACGAGTTTGTTTCATATTTTCTGTTTGTTTAATAGCAAGTCAATTAAAGTTGCCTGAATCTGCATCTCAGCATGACTTTTGTGTTTCCTAATTATCTAGTTTGTAGTTGTTTCATGAAAGATCTACTCTAGGTCATATGTTTTTCTACTGTTCTTAAATACATGTGTAGGATAGAAATTATTTATTATGGGCATATCTATGAATTTTGTAATTCATTAACAAATCATTAGTTATTTCTGAGAGTCTGTGGTTTTGTTGTTTCCCAATGTATTTGAAATTGTAACTAGTACAATTAGATTTTAATTAGCATTCATGTTCTCTAACCACTAACATGAAAAGTAACCTTAAAATGGAGTTTGTTTTAGTGACCAGTGAGCTAACTCCAAACAGTTTTATTTTGAGCACATTCAATGCTATTGTGATTTTTTAAAGCAGATGACATGCAGAAGAATAACATGGGGGCTTTGTTCAGATGTGAATTACAGGGGCCCTACCACCAGAATTTCTCATTCAAAATTTGATGTGGGGCCCAAAATGTTACTAAATTTGCCACAACAGTGGGTCTTTTCTCCCTCCAGGACTGCAAATTTTAGGACAAAACTAGGCAAAACCCAGTGTAGCAGCAATCAAAATTTTTTTCTTTGTCAAAGACTAGAAAAAATGGGAGGAGCAACCATAGTCAGCTTCTGAAACAGAACAAAGCCTGTGGGTTCTGGTAAGGATTTGCCCTGTGGAAGACGAGGTTGTAAAGAAAAATAAAAAAGTATTATTCATTAAAAGAGCGGGGTTCCCCCTTTGTTTTCTCCTGACATGGGATGGTTTGGGTTTGGGTCAGAAGCAGATCAGACTTAAGACGGCTCCAGTGGATAGGGGTGTCTGGGGGTAAGTATAAGGTCCGTGTGTCACCCTCTCTATCTGAAACTGGTTTTGCCTGGCTCCATCCTGCACCCTTTTTTTGCAGCATTGGCTGAGCCTGGCATAGTTTGTCAAGTAAAACTTTCTTTATCTGAAATCGAACACTGGTTTTTCTCAGCATTTCAGAATATCTAGCCTAGGAACAGAAATTATGGAATTTCTAACAAGTCCCTGAGCTGGCATTTGGAAACACTCTTTGAGAATGACTGCTCCATAGGAATGGATCTTCTAGCAACTTTTGTAATGTGGCAATTTCCAGAACTTTGGAAGAGTCTTCTAGCACAAAGTATCTTAGGAAAGTGTGTAGGTGATGTAATACATTTCAGACTCTGTTGTAGATTTTTTTTAACAAATGCGGTCTTTGCTCTGTCATTCTGCACATTCCCTGATGCTGCCAGAAAGCTAACAAATGTGGTGAACAGGGTCAAGGAGAAAAGAAATGCCTTTGCCTCTCGCGTGTATTTTAGTATTGTGCAAATAAACTGCCTTCGTCCCACAAATATCTTTAAAGCATTTTCATTAGGCAGTGCCTTGGGATTTAGATTTTAAGACGGAATACATATGCAAGTAATTTAAATCAGAAACACTGACACTGTGTTGTAAAGTTTGGTTTAGTGAGAGCAAATGGAAAATTTTGCATCACTTAATACTATAATTCAGAAATCTGCTCAGAAAAATCTGGCAGGATATTTCTGAGTAAATAATAGAGTTCTATTCAATGCCTCCTGTTCTTTAGAATACTGGTGGTAAACGTACGGCACAAATATTGTTTTTCTCTTAAGACAAGATGGATTTGCAGAGAGCCTGAAGGTTTCTGGAAGTCAAAGGGGACACTTGGCAGAGTTAGAAAAAGTTGGGTGGCGTACTGTAGTCCACGCCTACCTTGACCCTTGAGGAGGTGAAAAGGAGCCACTTTCTGATCATTTCCACCAGGTTCCTGTGACCACTGTGGCCACTCGAAGAGAGATGTGTCGCCTTAAAAGTGAGAGATTTGAAAACTGAATATTTGGTATAGACCTACAGAGGAAAAGCAGGGGCCGCTGGTCCTCTGCTAGTGACAAGGCAGAGGTGAGGTGGCTCCATTGGCGGAGGTGCATTGCATCAGTGAGGAGGTGGACAGTTTGTATTCTCTGTATTCCCTGTGGGTAAAGCCAACACAGTAATCTCAGAAGTAGAGATCAAGAACTTGCATGTTTAATAAATGCTCCAGGATGCTGTTGTAGATTAGGGGTACAGACCTCGCGAACCCCCAGAGGGTCTCCTGGCAGCCCCAGGAAAGCTGTAACAATGATGACGTCTTTGGTGGCACCTGGTGCGCCCGGCATGAGATCACACAACGCTTTATAAAGCTAAGCAAGAAAGCCAAATGTTATGTGAATTTTCACGGATTATCACTTTCCTATCACAACTTTTGCAAACTGCTACTGAATTTCAACATCACAAATATTAAATTATAGCACTTTCATGGCAGCTTTGTTAAAGTAAGGCTTTTAGCCTCTCCTTCATCTGTTTTTCACTTTGAAGGCATGCAAAATGTATTTGAACTTTGCATAGAACCTGAAAAAACAGCATGAATGAACAGTTAGTTTATACATCTCTTGATTCCCGTGCCACCTACGGAACTTCAGGTGCGCTAACACGGTTCCTAGGAAGAGGGAGCTGTGGCACCACGTCTGTCTGCCTGCTGTCCTGTGAACTCAGGGGTTCCTGTAAGGCTTTGTAATCCATGGTCGCCTTACACTGAGTTTTCCTCTTCAAATAGCACTGGCAATGTTATTGTTTGAAATTAGAAAGAATCTCTGAAAATTATTTCATCCAGCTCTTCAGCTCCACTGATATTCTTCTAATTGAAGCTCATTAAGTATTAAGTTTTGATCCAGGTCATTTCATCAAATGGATTCTTAAACAAAAGAAGGTCCAATTTTTAAGGGGATTTCAAAGCAGTTTCACAACGGAGAGTTATTTGACGTGACTATTTGGTTAGTGAAGGTGTTCTCATACACTGGAGCATTTGGCAGTCTGAACCTGTAAATCTGCTCTTTGTATCATCTTGCACCTTTTCTTTCTTTAGTCAAACTAAATATTGAAGTGATTCAAGCTGTACTTATTAAGTCCCAAAATGCTACTGCTAAAATATATTTTATAATTATACTGGTTATTTAGATAAACCTTACAATAAATCAGTGCCGAATCAAGATTTTAAAAATCAATCTTTCACAGACAAGATATGGACTTCTGGTAAATGCCAGAGTAACACTAAAATCTTTCTAATTCAATATTAATTCAACATAAAGTCTAGAATGAAATATTCAAGTATTCCCTAGTCACATTATTAAAATTTTTCCCTTATTATACTTGGAAGATGACATTGTTTAATGAGAAAAAAATGAACAGAGGAAAATATATAAATTGTTAATTAACTCAAATAGATCTTTAGAAGGAAAGTTATGTGATGGTTTGCCAATAAGGGGAAAGGAAGGGTAATGTTTATAAATAAAATTGTTTACACTAAAAAATTCACAAAGCTCTCTGGATCATTAAGCTTGGACTTTTAAATATTATGTTCCAAACATCAAATTACAGAATCCTAACCCTCAGACTAGGAAGGAAGCTAGAAAGTCTCTTTATTTATTTAATTTTTTTACTAGGAATTGCATTGTTCTGCAAGTAGCAAAGACTTTGGAAATCACAGCTTAATGATATAAACTTTCTTTTCCTCACATTCAACAGGAAGGCGAAGATTATCTGTTGCTAACTGGGCTGAGGTTGTTCCAATTCCTAAGTCTTTTACTCTGAGGTTGCAAAAAAAAAATTGCTACTTGATCTGTTTGTTATGACTTCCAAGTGGCAATGATGAAAACATAAAGGGAAACAATAAAGGGCAATTCTTTAATGTCTCAGTGTATATCTACTGGTATCTTATTGATGGAAAGTAGCCAGAATTCAACTCTATGAGAAAGCTGGCAAAACAAAACAAACAAAGCTTTTAGTTGGGCACAGTGTCAACCTAATAGAATTAGCCTGTCGATAAAGGAAGAAATGAAAAATGATTCTCTGTCTGCTCATCTCAAATACAATCATGGAGATTTGATTTTTCTATGGAAATACAGTGGACCAAAGAAAAATAAAGACATAATACCTAATACAGAAAGAAGTGACATCGTGGCTGTAAAGACATTAAAGTTGATTTTGGGGTCTGCCCTTTAGAAGTGTGGGAAACAGTGCCTTGTGTGAACCTCTCATCCTCAGACTGTCTTCCTCCCTCTCCCACTCTGAGAAGGCAGCCCTCCCCTTCCTGAGGGCGTGCAGCACGGGAACAATGATCCTCTGTACATTTGCTGCTCTCTCTGCGGCAACAAATCAAGGCCACTATGAAAGAGGCTTTGACAGATTTTCTTCCATTTCCCAGATTTTAAAATGTTTTTCTAACAGAGTGAAGAACAGAAAATGTTGACTCCTCTGCACATATCAATCAAACAATTCGAACACTTGCTAAACTTACGTATTTAACAGTGCAACAGTGTGTCATCATTATGTGAGAATCTGAGAACTAGATGATACCCATTATTACAGAAAACCAAGTAACAAATGGTAAGCAAAAACTGAAAAGAGAAACAATTTCTAAAATCTTAAAACATTACAACTACCTCACTCAGTGTTACAGAATGAGACAAAGACTAGCAACACAAAAATGACTGGATTGCATTCCTCTGCAGAAAAAGAAATCACTTTTGTTGTAATTTAAGTCTGTAGGTTATGACTTCCTATTTTTTCAACTTTCATAAAGATTTACTTGACTATACAGTGTCATCTAAACTTGCAAAACCACAGTGCTCTCCCGCCATTTGTAATCTGGGAAGTAAAGTCCAAGTACAACGTTCTGGTTACTGATTCAGTTTTGTGTGACTCATTTCTGATTGCAGTGGGAAAAACTACAGATGACTACGAGCGAGAGGAGGAAAATATTCTGCTCTGTCACATTCCATGTCATCGCCATTACCTGTGTGGTTTGGTCTTTGTATGTATTGATAGATCGGACAGCAGAAGAAATCAAGCAAGGCAATGACAATGGTGAGAATATGTGTTTCTTCTTTTCTCCTCTTTTGGGTTATAATGGGGGGGACAGGGTGGCTCCTTCTCCAGTCTGTGCTCATATGTGTGATACCTGAACAACAGCCAGTGCTTGCAGATGAGTCTTTCCCACTTCTTGATTATCTCTGACTGTCACAGGGGTCCATGCCAAGATGTGAGACGTATCAAGTCCATGTAAAACTTCACAGGAGGAAACACGTAGATGGCCTTCACCACCACCTTAGGCTTTTCAGGAGCTGAGTGAGGACCAGGTTCTACCTGACATAAAAAGGCAAACAGTTGTAAAGATGGAATTTTATTACATTCACCTTACTTGTTGCTTCCTTTAATGCACAGAGAGGACGCACCAGTAGAGAACGTGGTGTAACTTCTTAGTACCACATAGTTTGACAGACTGGGCAAGCACTATGGCTTCAAATTTAAGCCACGCCCAGTTTGAGTGTAAAGCCAATGTCAAGTTTGCGAAGAAAGATGTTCCAGAATATCTTCTTGTATTTAAAATGGGCAGATTGTTTAAAACAGAAGCAAAATACAAAGCACAGTACTATAAAATGTCACCAATACTCATTTCTGTAGATCCCCAGTTCTCTTTCCTGTCAGACACTATGGGTGTCAACCACTAGCTTCCCTCACAGCTGGTGAAACAGGAAGCAGTATTTCCACACACGCCTAGAAACTGTGAATTTGAAAGGAGAAGTTTTTCAGATGGTCCCATTGTAAGTCTGTAGTGTCGTGAAAAGCATCTACATGACCTATTTGCCCCCAGAACAGAAATTAAACACAGGAAAAAGATAAGGTTAAAGGAGAGGAAAAATAAAGAATTTTGAAAGGTTTGTTGCTTCTGTTTGTATGGATTCATCTGCAGAAAAAGGCTGGTCCACCCAGACTGGCCCTGTGCCTGGCACACCTACGAAGGCTTGCCTCTAGCATCTCAGAAGCAGGAGGGGCTGGGAGAGTACCAGGGATTGTGTGGCCCACCATATGCCCTGTGGTGACAGTTAATGTAGTTTAAAGAAGGGGAGAGAGAGAAGAGCTAGTGGCAGAGTTGCAGGACCTCTGTCCTATTCTGAAAGCATGAAAACCCTGCCAAGTCTAAACAATGGAAAGCCAGAAGGTGGGGGTATGTTTTGCTTTTCATTCAGTAATGACTCATTTGTGCACTGTATCATTCATATCAAACTACATCATTCGCAACTGCATTATGCACTGTTCCAGAAATTCTTAAATTTAAAATGTATTGCATCTCAATTAAACACATTCCATGAGAATTTTGATTTTTGTTTCTTTGTTGTTTGCTTTTGTTTTGGTGATTGTTGCTAAATTCTAAATCCACGTTTCTTCTAGATGTAGGTAAAAGTCAGGTACAGAATGTGTGTCATACACACTGCATCACATGTGCACAGAAAAATGGGGGCTTCCCTGCCTCACGTCACCCAGTGCACTGGGAGGGCTCCGTTGCTTTCCTGGCAACACAGAGCAGACCTGATGCCCACTTCATAAGTTTGGATGACTCATTAGAACTCAACATTTGAGAACCAGGAATTTGCCTGGAGGTGATACAGCCACTGTCTTCTCCCAGGATTCACCCTGAGTTAGCCTGTAGGGATCCTCTTCTGGAGCTACAGGAGAAGAAAAAAAGGTGAAGGCAGAAATAGTCCATCTCATTGATAGGCCGACCCTCATCAGACACTCCTAAGAAAATCCCTCATAAATATTTAGCTGTACTTCTAAGACATGTGACCTGTGATCATTTATCCTACAGTGATCATAACCTTCTCGACTTGGGCCACCTAAGTCTCTTCAGAATCCCCAAATTCTGTGGCCCTTCCACTGTTCTGTTTCCCTGCTTATTTATTCTTCTGTGTTTAGCTGCTCCACCTATGTTGACAACCTCCCACATTTACCTCCTGCTCATAACGTGCTCCAGCCTGGGTAGCTGCCTCCTCACCAGGGCCTGGCACCCGCAGTGGCCCCGACTCAGTGTGTCAGCCATAGCTGCCCTGTCTCTCACTCTGAACACTGTGGAAGGTATCAGTGACGTCCAACAGCCAGGTCCACCACCAGCCTTCATTCCTGATCCCCTCTCCTCCGTTAATCAGTCACCAAATCCTGTTTGTTTTACTTCTTTCACTCCTGGAGTCTGGCCATTTATATCCTTACAGTGGCCAAAATCCAGTTGCAAACTATTGTTCTTTTCTTACTTGAAAACTGCAAAAGCTTCTTAATTAAACTTTCTCCAGTTGTGCCATGGTCTGTAATGTAATCACGCCAAATTTACAAAATCGTGAATGGATCAAATTCTGTTTCCATTTAGCCAATATTCTCAATTTATAACCCAAACTCTTTGGTGGGTTGTGCTTCCCACCCAGAACTCAGCTGTCAGTGATCAGGCTGAACATCCACTGTGCTCCTCTCCAGTCTACTTCCAGACCCCTCGCACAGCCTTCCTTTTATGTAAGGCGTTTCCTCTTGTCTTCTCTTGCCCACCACCAGCACATACACAGACACTCACCTGGCCTCACCGCCTCCCTGGCTCTGAGTCACTGTCGGCAGGTAATAGCACCCACTCTGGGAATCCTACTTCAGCTCCACAATCTAGGATAATTACTGCTATCACAGTGGTTCTTATCAGCCCACGACCAACATTAGCATCCACTAGGTGTTTGTGGATGTGCATAAAGATATACATTCTAACCTTGCATTCCCCTGGACCTATCACAAGAGTCCTGAGGTGCAGAAGAGCGTTTTGTGCTTTGAAGTCTAGAGACAATTCTGACGCCTGCCAAGGTTTGAGAGCCACTGTCTAATACTGTGCATTTCCACAGCATCCTGCATCCTCCTCCATGGGGACACTCCACTTTGCTTGCATATTAGTATTGCCTGATTATCAATATTGTTGCAGAGATTCCATAATACTATACAAAGCCTGAGCTCTATCCCTAGAAATTCAGACTTAATTCCCTCTATGTGATGAAGCATGTTAGAAGTCACGGTGAGACTCTCAGCTCTGTCGTGAGACTCACTACACTGATGTTGCTCACTGAATTCTGTCTCTCCCCTCACTTGCTCACAGCAGGTTGCGCTGTGTCTGTATAGATCACCACTGTGTCCCTGACTGGCTGTGTCTTGGAGTTGCAAGTAGCTTAGTCAACTTGGTAGAAGAAATAGTGAAGCATGAATGCTTTGCACCCATGATTTTCCACCTTGTATTTTCCTTTACTTGAAATATTTATTTCTTTCTCAGTTCTGTGTGAGTACAGAATTTCTGACCCAGTCTCCCAATAGATCGTCCTTCAAGGTAGTCAGATTTCCCAATAAAATCTTAACTAATAGTCAAAAGTCAGCTTTTATGTTATGAATTATTTTCAGTTTCTTAAAGGCAGCTGAAAATGGAATCATTTTTATCTTTGGTGTTCAAAACTTTTGAATTAGCAAACAAGATGTCTGTCAAGATGTGGAGTTTATGGTTATTCCTACAGGAGTGAAACCAGGGGACAGTTCCTAGTACACATGGAAACCGCAGTGGCTTTTATAAAAGGTTTTGTCTGAATTTATGCTCAAATTGCACTTGAGATCTTACTTCCCAATTATGCATTAAAAGGAATGTGGGCATCTCTATGATTGTTTTAACCTTCTCTGGCACTGGGACTCGGAGTGCTGATCCTTGATTTACTTTTAAAATTTGGGGGAAAAACTTCATCCTTTAACAGCTACATATTTCAAATCTATCTAGAAAACCTTCAGAAATATTTGAAGAGGAACAAATTGTCCTTTTCAACCTGAATTGAGACTGCATATGAAACAGTAAAACCTTTTGAACTGTAATGACAATGCAGAAAAAAATCTTCGTGTGCTTTAAAATATGCAAGATTAAATATGCATGGTGCTAGATATGTCTGTCACTCTGGTCTCTATTTCCTGATGATAAAATACATGCAGTGAAATACATGGCATTTGAGATTTTAACACTCTAAATTACTCTTATTGCTTGAATTTGCACAATTTTTCCACCTGCCCTATCTTTACTGATTCTGGAAGAGTGATCCATTACACTATTCATGTTTTAAATTCAAAACACAAAAATACAAACTAAGAAAGCAACAATTTGTAGCATATTCCTTATGCACAGAATTTTTTTTTACTTTTGAATATTTGCATGTACATAATGAGATGTCTTGGGGTAAGACCCAAATCTAAATGTGAAATACACTTATATACATAGTCTACAAGTAATTTTAGTCTGAATGTCATCTACAACCCATCAAATGAGCTAAAAAATGAGCTGGAGTTTCCCACTATGGTGACATATCAGCACTCAGACTTTACAGCATCTTTTATTGTGGATTTCAGATTACAGATGCTGAATCTATACTAAAGAAAATGTAGGTGCAGATACCAATGTTGTCCCAGAATTATTTAAATATATGCATCATAAGGGAGTACAATAACAACCTGATTTTGTTTTCTTGACTGACTCTCTTGTGAGGCTCTAGCTCCTCCAGGGCAGGCACTGTCCCTCATTATTCAGAAAGCACTTGGTTAGGAGAGGCTCACACAATCTGAATAGCTGTGGTTGACTTCAGCCCACATATAATAACAACACAAGTATAATAAACACTAGGTTGAGTGAATTGTCAAAAGGCCAGAGTCTTAGTTCTTCCTTGGTCACTGGTTATGATGAGTGAAGCAATTACATTCTCTGAAGCTCATTTTCTTATTTGTAAAACCAGAAGAGCTGGACTTGGAGTCCTCTAAAGATTCTTTTGTATGATTCATTTTTCAGATATCATGAACCTGACCTTGCATCATAATATATGTGAGCATTTAGATAAACAACACACATATATCATACATGCTTACTGACTGTACAAATTATGATAAAATAAAGGGAAAGATAGATTCAAGTTTTGCTATTGTTACTTAATAATTTATCCAAATGCAGAGAGGCAACCAGGAGAAAACTGCCTGACATATGTGCTTCCTTCTACAAACACATTTAATAACAGCATAACCTTAGCCCAAAACGTCCCAACTTAACAGTGAGATACTTTTTCTAAATATACCCTGCCCTTTCAGGGTCTCCTCTGCTATTTGGTGATTTTAAAAGACACACTCCGGGAGTCTCCAGTTCCACAATCTGCTACATACAATACGCAGAAAACTGAGAAATCAAGTTTAAAACATGGAGAGACATTATAAATCATAGTTTAAATATGAGAAAATAAACAATTTGCCAGATCTCCAGCTAATTAACAAAACCCACCTGGGACTACGAGGTTCACTCAATTTGACCTTAAGAGTAAAGCAGAAAAGTGAAATATTCCAGATACCTAGCCAGTGCAGCTCCAGGGGAGAAAAATGGGGCCTTGATTGACTTGCAACAGAAATACATTTTCTGAGACACAATATTGCTGGAAAGTAGATGAGTCAAAAAGGAGCAAATGGATATGCATCAGTTCATAAGCCGTCGTCATCTGAAAAGCTTGGCATAAAAGTTTCCTATCAGACACAGCATACACATTTGCTCCTTAAGCATTCAAGAACCATTTAGTTTATTTCTGGTAGGATTTCTGAGGTTTTCTCCTGAAGAAGGGAATGATAACTACAAGGGATGCCCAGAGACACACACAGTGGATGCACAGTGCTTCCTAAGTGCTAGAGCCCTGCCCAGCAGCTAACTGGACTTCTGCCCTCCTAGACTTTGCAGAGTTTCATTCCCAGGAGTCAAGAAGGGACACTTTCAGGCCCCATGGAGTGAAAGCTCTGCTGTTAATCCATAGCTTCATCCGCCAAAGACTGTAGCATTTAAATCATTCAGAGCATAATATAGTAACCATTTACATCTACATAGCATGATCTAGATGTCAGGCAAAGTTAATTAATCCCCTAAGAACCCTATCAGGAGGTATTATTTACTTCCACTTTAAGTGATGTACCAATGAGCCTCTGCTGTATAATGAACCAGGAATTCGTGCAGAAAAACTACCACTGAGAAGTCATCAACCACAATAAGGGAAATCCTGTTGGCTTTGGTTGCAAAGAAATTGAATAAAGTCCTGGATTATTTTGGGTTTAGGGAATTTCTTAGCTAAGAAGGAAGGGGTGAGAGTTAAGGATGGCAAAATAGTAACCATAAAGGAGATGATGCCCCTGGGTTGCAGTGGTGCTGTTTATAGATGTAATCTGATCTGAAACAGACACCTTCCCTTGAACATCCCTAATATTTGTCTCTTGGTTCAAATCCAATAGATAGCAAGATGAGGAAAATGAAGGGGTTTCTTATGTTAAAAGTAGTTTATGAACTTTAGTTTTCATCCATTTTTATATTTTTCTTCAAATTTTTTTGTGACAGCTACTTTCACCCTGACACCCCAGCTTCTTCCATTTGCTTTCTAGAATAATGTCACACAGCTGGAAACCTCAGCATGTAGGACGAGCCTTGATGTTCATGTCTATTTCTTTGTCTACAGTGCTTTCGCTTGCTCTTTAAATAAACATTCCTTACAAATTGTGGTTCCAGCAGCATTATACCTTCAAGCATTTTGTGTAATGTAGCACTCTGATTCCTCTAATTAGTAAAATTTTGAAAATCACATTCAAGGCAAAATGTACTGACAACCTTAAATCTGTCCTGGAAAGAACACTGACTGCTTTGACAGAGTGTATTCAAATACCACATCACATAAATTCAATTATAAAAACAAGGCCTGGGGGAATTTATTTAATAATCATATATTAAGGCTGTTTGAGAACTCATTGCCTTAGCATGATGTTATGGAATGCAAACAAAAAATTAAATTTATTAAGAAGAACAAAATCAGGGCCGGGGATTTAGCTCAGTGGCTCAAGCTCTTTGCCTGGTAAGGGTGAGGTCATGAGTTCAATCTGCAGAACCAAAAACAAAACAAAACAAAAAAAGACTTAAAAAAAAAAGAAAAACAAAATCCACATTTCTTCAGATAATAATGGTAGGCAGAATATTTTTTCCTGCAATTCCTGTTCAAGAATTTCCAAGAAATGCTCCAGAAGGAGAGGTGGACAGAGTTTATTGCTAAACCTACAGAAAGAGTCCAAGAACAAAAGCAGCAGGAGAGATGAGTCCTTTATTTCAGCGATAAGAGTGGATGACTGAATTCACGGAAGCTGTATTTTCCAAACTCTTCTTCCAAACTGGCCAAATGCTCAGAGCCTTTCCAAGTACAGCCTGCAGCTTCAAACCATATTGGTGAAAACAAAGAATTCTTTGGATTATACTAATATCTGCAAAAAATGAAACTTTGTTTCTCCCCTTCCCAGTTCTCCTCTTTCCTTATCATACACATTCTCTCATTTTTGGAGAAGATAGTGTAGAAACTGAGCACTGCACAAAATTGAGTAAGAAGACAATTTGTTAAGTCTCAATAAAAGGAGGCAAGTATAGCTTACCAATGAAAACATTCTTGAAATACCCATTTAGCACCATTTGAGGGTCTTCTCCCACAATATGTGTATAGTGAGTTTTCCAAGGTAAAAATTGTACAATTAGTCAATAATCATCTCTTTCATAGGAAAAAAACCATTTAGTTTAAAGAAAGGGAAACAATAGGCTGTCTCTTGAAGATGACCACCTGTCCAATGAGTTTGGATCCAAATGGCTTCTGTATGTGAGATTAGATGATATTTAACCCTAAACTCAGTCCAGGGGCTCAGGGGGAGCTTGGCCGTCCCAAGGATGTATTGCTGAAGGATGCGCTGAGCAGAAGCAATCAATTCACAGTTACCTTAGAAAGGAAAGATAGATTGATTCTCTTAAGGCAGGACAAAGAAAATTGGCAGCTCATTGTTCCTGGCTCATTTTTTTTCACTACATTATGGATTTTAGTCACTATTACAGGAAAGAAAGATAGGAAATAAGTAAAACTTTTTTCAGATTGTCCAACAAAATCAGAGCTTCACTGACAAGAGCAGCTGTAAAGCTTTCACTCATTCTTAAAATACCTGCTGAACAAGGTATCATAGAAAACAGACTATCCAGGTTTGGCCTGTCAAAATCGTAGCATGGCAAAGATAAAATATTTACGCTAAAAAGTGAATTCATGCCACAAGGAAAGAAATGATATCAAACTGAAACACTGAGAAAATTAATTCCCAGCAAGCAATTGCTTCTGACTTGGGTTTCTTGTTTTGGAGGAGGGCAGAGCAGTAATCAGAAACAGGGAAGCAAAATCCAGAAAAAAAGAATCATGAGCAAGGTTCAGAAATAGCAAATCTCTAGGCATTTCATGATAGTTTTGATTTAGCAAATAAAAAGGTGGATGTGATTCATGACGATTTCCCTGAAAATGGAAGATAAAGCACATTTCATCACCAGGTTGTCTGTGGTTGAGTTTTTTAAATACATACAAATTACTGCTCAGAGCCCCCCGCCTCCCTGAAAAAGTAATCCTTCAACATTTGGAGAACTCCAGTATGTCTTATTTGTATACTGAATCCTCCCTGTTAACTTCCTATTAAACAAACCTGTGTGTCTTCTACAACAGGGATTCTCATCCTCAGCACTACTGACATTTTAGAATAATCCTTTGGTAAGGAACCATGCCAGGCAGAGATCACTCAACAGGCATATGTGAAAGCAACAAGGCGTTCAATTTCATACTTGAATGCAGGCAGACAGAGGGCCGAAGAGGCCATCTGCAGGAAACAAAGGCAGGCAGGCTTCTCTATATGGTGTCTTAGTTACTTTTTACACATTGCTGAGACAAAATACTTGATGCGCAAATTTAGGGAAGGAAGGTTTATTTCTTACAGTTTTTAAAGGTTTCAGTCCATACTAAGTTGGCTCCCAGGCAGCATGACATGGCAAGGCAGCCATTCACGGCCACTGCAAACAGCATAAATGAAAGCGAAAGCAAAGAAGAAAGACCCGCCTTCTTCCCGTGGTTACACTGGCTCCACCCCTGGGAAGGTGAAACAGTCACATTACTAATCTGAGCGCTAGACAATGAACCAATCACAAATGCTAGATTCAGTAACCTCCAAGCCTGAATGAGGCTTTGGGGGAACATTTAAATAAACCACAACTATAACTTGAAAGAAGGCAAGGGACATTAGATAGGGAAGACCTTAGGAATCATCAGTGGTCAAATTTTTCTAAATGTCTTGTGCCTTAGTGAGTAAAGTCCTTGAGCTGTCCAGTGTCTTCAGATATCCTGATGCTTGGAAGAGTCCATGCTCTGTTTTATCCCTTTTATGATATCCTGTGTTTGCGGAGAGCAACTTTGGTGCTGAGCTGGGCCTTCATTGAGAACAAAGCCACTGCTGGTACACAGGTTGGACAATGGGAAAGTCATGTCCAAATCAAGCCTGACACCTTTGTTGGAAGAACAGGACAATGTTCAGCAGTAACCCTGACCTCTGTTTACTAAGAGTCAATGGCAGCCCTCCTAACTCATGTCTGACGATGTACAATCTCTTCAGACAGTACCAGATCCCCTTAAAGAACACAATCAGCAGGCTCAGAGTCTGCAGCCTGCAATGAGTCAGTGTGCTAATGGCTGCTTCTCTCTGTGCAATGAAAACTAGAAAAGTCTTTTGCATTCCAAATATGAAGACTCTGCACGAAAAGGAATTTATCTTTTGCCATGCTACTCTGCTTTCAGTGAGAACATATATATTATCCAGCCATTTATATATGTGTGCCACCACTTATCTATGAATACTAAAATTATACATTCCAGATTATTCAAATTCCTCATAAAATTATTCACAAAACTTGGATTTAAAGCATTTTAAAATAGATAGCAGGTGAACTTCTTTCTATGCAAAACATGAATCAAATTCCAAAACTATCAAAGATTGCAAGGTCAAGATCATTGAGTAATGGTCTCAATTTGGGAATTAAATACCAATAGCAAAAAAGGAACAAGGAGATCAAAACTTGAACTAAGTCTTTAAAGGTCTTTGAGCTGTGTATTTTTATTTCATTTTCTTTGCTGAAATACCAGAAAAATTAAGATGTGAGCAATGTTTATTACATCCACTTGATTTTTTAAAATAATATATTTTATGAACTTTTTCATGAAGAAACTGAGTCTCTTTAAATATATATAGAACAATAAATTATTCCAAAATAAATAAATGTACATTATGTTTCAAGTATAGATTACATAACCCAAATCTTTAGAAAGAAAGCTGGAGCTGTGAAAGTAAGACAAAATTTTTTTTGTTTTTGCTTTGCTGGGAATTGAATCCAGGGTCTCACACATGCTGTGCAAGCACCTCACCTGAGCTAAAATCTCTAGGCTAGAAATTTTAAAAGGTTATGCTCATTGCCCAAAAATCATTATTTTAAGGCATTTATTTTACTTTCTGTAATAAAGTTAGTTGCTAAATTTGTGAATAAATATAAAGCATTTATGTGCCATAATTTCTGTAATTATCTTTTTTTTTTTTTGTCCTTCAATGAAGCTCTTTCTGCAGGGTTCTAGAACATCGGGTAAGAGTACAGTGTTGTCACTAGATAGATACCTGCTGTCAATACACACTAAATATGCAAATTTATGTGAACAAAGAAATCAAACCTGGGCAACATACTTCCATTGTTAAAAATCGCCATCATTAGAATCAAAGATATCTGTAGGTGAAAGGAACTATGGGAATATTAGCATATGACTAACAAAATACTGCCAAAGATCCAATGCAGTCCACTGTGGACTTTAAACTTTCTAAAATTAAAAGTTCTATATTCTTCTTGCCAATAGACAATGTTTCAGTTTGTGAGATCAGAAATAGATATGGTGCCCTGGTTCTCCTTGTTTATCTTAGAAATAAAGTACTTTGTCATGATGGAGACACAGTATCTTCTTTGCTTTTCAAAACATAAAGCAGGAGATTGGTACCATGGTACATGCCTGTAATTCTAACGTTTTGGGATGCTGATGAGAGCAGGATCCCAAGTTCAAATCCAATGTGGGCAACCTAACAAGAACTTCTCTCAGAATAAGAAAACAAAAACAGGAGCTAAGGATAATAGCTCAGTGGTAGAGTGTGCTGGCTTGATTCCCAATAATACACCTCTATACATGCACGTACAAAGGACCATAAAGGAAATAGCACTATTATAAGACATAATATATTTTTATAACTGTTCACTGTTACAATAAAAGTCCAACACAGAAGCATAGATTCTTTTTTTATTAATTTTATTTTATTTAAAAGGAAAAAGAGAAAAAAAGCAGAACAAACAAAACAGTGTAAGGGTACAAGTAATTCAGAACTACAGTAAGCTATCACCAGTCAATAGACCACTCGCTATCATCTTAGAAACGGTGTTTCAGGTCACAGGATCAAAGCACACAAAGCAAACATTCAAACAGTGAGACTGCAAACAGTTGTGTTCAGTAATCCAATCCAAAATATTAATATGGTCTTCTATGTAACACACCTAAACACCCTTGCTGTTGTATCCTTCAGGGCACTTTTCTTTCCCTCTCTTTATTACAACAAAATTTACACACTTTGGGCTTTATTGCTCCCTTAGATCTTATTACTTTTTTTTTGTAAGAAAATAAAATCAAGCATGACAAAACAAAGCTGTCAGTCAAAACCAAGGATAGACATAGCACATGATGTAAAAACAGAGTATACAGTACAAGGTTATCAACAATGGTTACCATAATGACTCTTGCATCCTTAAGAAGAATTGTCTACCTCTTTAGGTATTATAAAGTTAAACAAAACAGTAGAGAATAAGACCAATAAAACCTAAACTTTGTAAATCTTACAGAACCTCAAAAGAGGATAATAGTCAAACCAGAATGGGCATCATAGTGAATCTTATTGCCCTCAAAGTAGTTGCCTATACTCTGATACTTGATACTTTCATACAGAGCAGAATAGAGTCTAATCAGTCAAAACAAGATAACAGGGGTATTACAGGACTTCAAGTTGATAGGAAATCAAAAAAGATACTATAATATATCCTGCTAGTTTTTTTATTTTTTCCCCTTAGTTTAAAAAAGAAATTTTAAAAATTAAATAATTTTTTAATGAATAAGGGAGAGGTTGAGATAAAAGGGGGCATAACAACATAACAGTACAGGTTAATGCATGACACTTTCAGCAACCTAGTGCTTCACCACCAAATAACCCAACTTAATAGTAGTTACCATAGTGTCTTTTTCTTTGAAATATTTGAATATAAAGAAGCATATTTTCTTACATCCTGTGGTTTCTAGCCCTTCCTACTATGCTATCCTGAACCATATGCTTGACAACTTTTCTCATTAAGCAATTATGTAACTTACACGACCTTGGTGTTGGAAAAATTGACTTTGATCATGTATTTCACATTTGCTGTGAGTGGGCTTTGTAGTTACAGAACTCCTGTAAGGTAATTTTTAAAACTGCTTTTCGGTAAAAGGAAGCTTTTTTTCCCCAGCAAAAGAAATTAAAGGAAAATATAGATGTCTAGGAAAGTGATGGATCATGGCGGTAAAATATAAGATTTAAGAAATGAATGGTTAAAATACTCCAATCTTTTCATGTCTATATCCAGTAATTCTGTTTGGTAAGGAAGACACAGCAGTTTTCCTTCTCGTTGTTTTTCTCAGGTGGAATGAGGGTTGGGAGGTCTGTCTACAGAAGCCCACACATATGTCACCAATTTTCTCCTTCCTCCATGTTCCTGTCCTGCAGATCATGAAGAACGAAGCCCAAGAACACAGCAGCAGGGAACTGGGTGTAGTTTATTAGAAAAAACAGAAAAGCTCTCTCCAGCTGAGGGGCCCCAAGGGAGGAAGCTATGGAGGAATTCAAGTCCAGAGGTTTATATGCAGACTTTGTACAAACATGAAATGGTGTGGTCATGCTTTTGCTGTCTTCTGACATTAGAGAATGAGCTTTTCCTCACAGTCTAACTTCCCAGGGCTTCTGTCAGTTTACTGGGGCTGGTGCCTGCACCTGCCTAAGCCCTTTATTTCCTGATCTCACACATGTCCATTACTTCTCTGTGCTAAATGGATTTTAAATTCTGACCCTTGCCGGGGATTTAGCTCAGCAGCATAAGTGCTTGCTTGGCAAATGCAAGGATATAAATTTAATCCCCAGTACCAAAAACAAAAACAAAAACAAATTCTGACCCTTGCCATCAATATGTTCATTATTCTTTCTTAAAAACTTAGTTAAAGGGGCTGGGGATTTAGCTCAGCGGCATAAGCACCTGCCTTGGAAGCAGGCAGTCGTGAGTTCGATCCCTGGTACCGATAAAAAGACAAAAACTTAGTTAAAAGGAGTAAGTGCTGGAGTATTCAAAATCCAATATGGTATTTCATAATTACAGCAAGTAACTGATGCTAGGAGAGATCACTGAAGTGATAGTTGAGAAAATTTCCTCAGTTTTAACAATATGTTTATAACAGTTGAAAGGAATTAGGCTGACAGTTATAAATCTTCCGAGTCATTAACAATATATTTTTTAACAATATGATTTGGCAGGTATGTTCTTTTGAAGGGAACTATTGAAAAAAGAAAACTACCAAATCCATTAACATCTTGTTGATAACGTTCTCTTTTTATTTTAAAGGTGTCCTCGAATGGCCGTTTTGGACAAAACTGGTTGTGGTGGCCATTGGCTTCACAGGAGGTCTTGTCTTCATGTACGTGCAGTGCAAGGTCTACGTCCAGTTGTGGCGCAGGCTGAAGGCCTATAACCGTGTCATCTTTGTGCAGAATTGTCCAGATACAGCCAATAAACTGGAAAAGAACTTCTCAAGTAATGTGAACACGGACGTCAAAGATGCGGTGGTTGTGCCTGTATCACAAACAGGTACAAATTCTCTGCCATCTGCAGATGTTGGCCCTCCAGAAGTTATACCGGTCTGATGGAACTAGTTGGGAGTTTCTTCACCAAGAACATCTTCGTAGCCTTCAGCCACTACAAATGACAGATGTGATCCTGCATTATTCACTCCCTTTCTCCTACTGACTCATTTTTCCTTACTTTGCTCAGAAAGGAAAGGAGGAAAAAGAAAATCAAATGACTAGGATTCTCACAAGGAACCTAATGGATGATACAGAAATGTGAGATTTGTTGGAATGATTTCTGAGACAATAAAGAACCACTGGTACAAGGAATGCTTTTAATCAATGAAGGAAGATTAAATGGACACACGACTTTCTTTACAGTCGCAGGGGAAAAGTTCAAGAACACAGACTTGTATTGTAGTGTGTATGTCTTCTTTGGGCCTTGTAATGTTGGCTATCTCATGTGGAAATAACAAACATATTTGGTTTTAAGCCTGAAATGGTCTGCATTGTCTTTAAGTCACAGTGGAAGTAAAGTTGGAGGATGCATATTTTCATATTCAGATTTTTATGGCTACTGTGGAGTCTGGTTATTTTGACAGATGCATGTTCTAAAAATGGATGCAACCCACATCTGGAGATAGTAATACCTGGAATCACATTTAAGTCATGGACAAAAGATTCTCTAGAGAATGTCTGAGTTCAATTAGCTCCATTAAGTACCCACAGAAATTAAAATTAATTATCAGGTCCTATATTTTATCTGGTTCCTCTAACACAGTGTTTGCCAATAGAAATAGGGCACTGGATGCAAATGTGGGCCACAAATGTAAATTTAAAATTTCCAAGTAATCCTATCAGGAAAGATAATAATGGGTGAATATTAATTATGATCATTATAACACTATAAATACAAGTTATTTCAATATCCCATCAATGTAAAGTTATCAAAACTGTTTTTAAACCAAGACCTCAAAATCCAGTATGTATTTCATAATAAACCTCAACTTGAATTAACTGTATTAGATAGCACAGCTCTAACATTAGAGCTTAATAACAGTTGAATATTTCAAAACAGCAGCTTAACTCATTACTTTATTTCAAAGTTTCACTTAAAGAGCATGGTTTTACAAAGCACTAAAGTAATCAAATTAAGTACCCTGGTTTGTAGACTGCAAGAAGTCACCATTATTCCAAAGGGGTATAACAAAAATATGGAAAGTAATCTGCCTGCAGCAAGTTGTGAAATTAACTTGTTTGCTACTATGAAGCATTTATGATAGGGAAGAATTACTAAATATTTTCGGTTATTACCACAAAACTACAAAGTTTTCAAAATCCATGTCAGTCGAGTGGTTACAACCAAGAATGTAGATCTTATTAAAAAAAAAAAAAAGCAAAAATACTCAAGATTCTGTAAGTAACAAATTGAGTTTTTTAGGTTTATTATTGCATTCTTTACATATTTATATAAAACTCAAGTGTGAATGATACTGAAGTGAGCTACATTAATAATTGTAGATATAGTGGCCTGCTGAACGAAAGATGTCTTACATTTAAAAAGTGAATTTTGTTAGTTGTCATATTTATTATCATGAAAAGGCAAGGATGGCCGTAAGAACCAAAGCATGGGTTATCACAACGCACAAATCTGGGTATCACATTAGTGCACTTTGTAATTTTAAGTGTGTTTGTTCTTCACTGATTATCAAAGGAAAAAAATAAGATTTTAATGAGAAAGACAGTGTGGCTATTAGTAGTGATTAATGCCAAATCCAAATAGTCCCATTCCTAGAAATAAAGCAAAGGTAAACAATGTCGTGTGTGTGTGTGTGTGTGTGTGTGTGTGATGTATTCATAGATATATGTGAGAAAAAATGTTAAGTTGTTCAGTCAGGAAACAAAAGGTTCGTTAAAATTGTTGTAGGGACATGGAGAAAAGGCACAGGAAAACAAAGGGAAGGTAACTAAACTGGACCAAAACTCAACACAAATAAGGACTTAAGTGGCTTTTTAAAAGAATAAATTAACTTTAAACTTTGTATTAACTTCTTAGATGTCCCTTTTCAAGATTTAAAATAAACAGACATTTGAGTAATAAATGCTTTGGGTGATTTAACTATGGTACTACATCCAAGGTATTAACGGTCTTTCAACTTTCCTGTTCACTTTTTCTAAACTTTTATAATTCATTTTTCCTGTGGGTTACCAATGGCAATATATTGTCTACAAATATTCCTGAAGTAAAAGTAGTCACCAGCAAACAAAGAAATACTGATTCTGCTTTTTGTCTGCTCTGGAAGAAAAAAGATTATTTAACTTTAATTACCATGAAAAATACTGTTTGAAAAGCAAGACAGGCAAGTACATAGCTCATTTCACAATGGGAAATGTTTGGCTAAAAATGAGACTTCATTCATCAAAGGCTACATTTAAACCTTAGAAAACATTTCTAAAATGAAAAGCAAAGACAAATGTCACTAAGTTAATAATAAAAAATAATGGTATTTTTAATCTACCAAAATCTTCAAAACATTATCTTTATAGGCTTTGAGTTTACTGAAATGAGAATATAGTTCCCTACCAGGTCTAAACAATCTTGCTATTCTTCTGATTTTTGAAAACTGTAAGTTGAATTTCATTTAAAAAATCTATCACAGGCAAAATCTTCATTGAAAAGCTTTCCTGCAATAAACATTTGATTCAAAAAATTTGAAATAACCACATTCATTTAAACCCTGTTAATTTTTTTTTACATTTCAAGCAGCAATGGTACATTTGTCCTTAAAACAATAAACCTTTGCTTTTGTAGCAGTACTTGCTGGTGGACTGATTTACCTCTTAGGAAAACTGCTCTATAGCATGATATGTTTTGAGAGATGCTTATCTGCTCCTGTAGTAAATAAAGGCATTGAAACAAAGAACTGAAATTGAAGAATACATTTAAGAATTTAGGCTTTTTATAATCTCAACAAGAAAATGTGATATTTATACCATAAACCACAGGCATAGAAGTGTTGATTTTTTTTTTCCTTTTCTTTTTTTTTTATTTTATCGTTACCAGGGATCGAACTCACGACTGCCTGCTTGCAAGGCAGGCGCTTATGCCGCTGAACTAAATCCCTAGCCCCTGATTTTTTTTTTTAAACTAATGTCATTTTAGTTGTAGAAAGTTAAAGATTACATAGCAAGGAAATGAAATTCCAAATTTTTACAAGTGAAATAGAAAGGTAATGATGCTTACATATGAAAACAAACCAAATAAAAATGGGGAAAACTGTAAGTGATCCCAACCTACATTATAGCAATGCAGACTGTAAAAGCACCGGTCTCACACTGCCCAGCACTGATCTCAGCGAGAGCTGCTGTTACACGTGATGATAATCCCAGATGGTCTCTCGGTTATATTTCTTCTTGTTTGCACAAAGTCCTCAGTACTCTTAAGACATCTATTCTTTGGCTGGAAAATTAGTGTATCGGCCTAAAGACAACATTAAAAAAAAATTATAATGGGGATGAGATGGGAAGGTCATTCATTCCATGTGTCAGGTACAATTTACCTTTCCTTGCCTTGCCAATGAATATTGTGGAACAAAGTAGAGATCTTTAAGCATATTATCATTATTATTGTAGTTGTTACATAAAAGTTCTGTAAGAATCATATGTTAAGAAAGATGCAAACCTTTTTTCTTTATTCTAATCAGCCCAATGGTGCTATTTTACATATCAATATAGTTGAAAGGAAGTACTGTTATTTTGGGCTGCAGTGTTTCCTCCAGGACTGAAGAAGCCCAGTTTGAAATTGGATGTTGCATTGAAGCAAAGAAGAAAAAAGTTATTTTCATTGTGTAATTTTGAGATTGGGCATTTGTACTTTTTTCAGTTTTACTTAATTCTCTTTCATTAACAATTTACTGTTTGTCAGTAACATGTGCTAAGACAAACTAATGAAAAGAAAATAATTATCTGTGAAACACTTTGTATATTAAACAAGTGATCTAAATCTTGGCTGTAGTTTCTATACTGTTTGCCTGACATACTGGGAGATCTGCAGATTTATATCTGCAGATTTAAAGACCCTTGATTACAATGTCCTGAGTTTTTAAGCCAGATCTTAACATATTTACAATGCTTTTTTTAAAAGTCTCTAATTTATTTGTACATTTTAGATATGACCACATTCATCATAGGAAATGTGTACTTGTATATTATATATCTTAATTATTTTCCCCATTCCTCTACTCTCCCTTCAACACCTCTTCCCTTTATTTACAATAGCTTACTTTCCACTTTTCCTTCCATTTTTTTCTTTTCCCTTCCCCCACAATTCCCTTTCCCATTTGAGCATTTTCTTCCTATTTCATAATATCTATAATACATATGGCCCTTATTTACACTATTGATTTCTCACCCCAGAAAAACAATGTGATATTTTCACGTGTGTTCAATTTATTTCACTTAACAGCATGGTTTCAAGATCCATTTACCTAGAAAAGTCACGTTAACCCTTCTTTATGAGTTAGTAGTACTCTGTTGTATAAGAAAAAAATCCTCATCTTTAAAATCCATTGGTAATGGGCATTTGGGATATTTCCAAGATTTACTCTGCTGCTATAAGTATGGGGGTACATATATCACTATGGTATGATAATTTTACTATTTTTGGAAGCTACCAAGAACAGCTGGGTCAAATGGAAACTGAGTTGTTTTAGGAATCTCCAGAGTGGCTGCACCAGTCCTGTATTCCTTTGTCCCCACAGCTCCTCCA